GTGTGGCGTTAAACAACAAAGAAACAAACGAATGTCCACAATTATTCACAGTTGATTGTCTTGAATGGAACACGTGCTCTGTTTTTAAATCCACGAAACAATGTTGGAAGCAGGCTGAAATACCGGCGCTTTCAGATAGGTATCTTGTTCGCCCTGAACAAGTAGATAAGTGCAAGTCAGGTCGAGGACGACCTCGATTCGCCCTCGTCTGGCTCTATAAAAGGACAACCTACCTTATCTGGCTCTGTAAAAGGACAACCTACCTTGTCTGGCTCTTTAAAAGGACAACCTACCTTGTCTGGCTCTGTAAAAGGACAACCTACCTTATCTGGCTCTGTAAAAGGACAACCTACCTTGTCTGGCTCTGTAAAAGGACAACCTACCTTGTCTGGCTCTGTAAAAGGACAACCTACCTTGTCTGGCTCTGTAAAAGGACAACCTACCTTGTCTGGCTCTGTAAAAGGACAACCTACCTTGTCTAGCTCTGTAAAAGGACAACCTACCTTGTCTGGCTCTGTAAAAGGACAACCTACCTTGTCTGGCTCTGTAAAAGGACAACCTACCTTGTCTGGCTCTGTAAAAGGACAACCTACCTTGTCTAGCTCTGTAAAAGGACAACCTACCTTGTCTGGCTCTGTAAAAGGACAACCTACCTTGTCTGGCTCTGTAAAAGGACAACCTACCTTATCTGGCTGTAAAAGGACAATCTACCTTGTCTGGCTCTGTAAAAGGACAACCTACCTTGTCTGGCTCTGTAAAAGGACAACCTACCTTGTCTGGCTCTGTAAAAGGACAACATACCTTGTCTGGCTCTGTAAAAGGACAACCTACCTTGTCTGGCTCTGTAAAAGGACAACCTACCTCGTCTGGCTCTGTAAAAGGACAACCTACCTTATCTAGCTCTGTAAAAGGACAACCTACCTTGTCTGGCTCTGTAAAAGGACAACCTACCTTCTTGAAACTTATGTCAGGAAGTTGCTTGAATAAGGTAATTTATCATCCAAAACTGGCTCCCACAGGCGATATCGCTTGGGTGAGATCAAGCGATATCTACACTGTCGATATCGCTGCAATGAAATTGCATCACAATGCTTTGCAGACCATTGTGACGTCATTGGTTACCATGACGTCACAATCAATGGCTCTGATACTAAAGCTGTTAGCAGTACGTTTTACACTTAAGACACTGCTTATTACTGTCAACAAATTGAAAAAGTTGAAAGAATGATGTTGGATGATAAATAAAATCTCACCCTCGTGTCTTTTGATATCAAAGATTTCAACACTTGTTGATAAAGGTGGAAACAATCCTCGACAAGCCTCGGAGTTCTCCAACTCGTGTTGATATATTTGATATTAAAAGACACTCGGGTGAGATTCTCTATATATCCCAGAAGGGAATTAATGTCTGTGAAGACGCTTCTCACTGAGGAATTCTCTATAACGGAAGGATATCGATGGCGTCAAGCGCTTGGACTGAGCGTTCACTGTTAACAACTAAGGGAGGTTACGAGCGCTTCAATCTGAAGCAGTAACAATTATCAGAAATAAACTTACAATCTATACTCAACAACAAAAGTTCCTGTGACACCAATATTTTAGTGTATTTTTCAAAAAGTAAAGTTTGGTTTTCAATATTGGAGTACATGTAAAATCACAAAATGTCCCTTGAAAACGATTTACCCTAACAATACAATTGTATACATAAGGACCCTGAGCTATTGTGGGATGTTACACCTACCAAAGTTGTAAAGGCGGCAAAGTTCTTTAGACTTGCTTTTGAAAACTATAAAACTTTCCACTACCACATTAGATATCTTGAAGCCAAATGCCCGAGGCCCTCGATTTGTTGAAAGTGGTTTCCTATTCAAAGTAGGGAGCAGATGAAACAACCCTCTTGCACGTGTACAGGTCACTGATTCGTTCAAAGTTGATTACAGCTCTGGCGGGCTATGTAAAACGAAAATAGTTTATTTGAGGAGGCTGTTGAACCATCTCTTAAACAACGCCTTCTGCTGAACCATCTCTTTAACAACGCCGACTGAAAATGTCTTTACAATACATCACAAAATTGTATTCTAATAAATCTAAGTAAATTTATGACTGAGTATTTATCCTCTTTAGGAAGATATTTACAATGCGAAATCAGCTATTATTCCATCACTTGGAATAAGAATCACATCTGCCATTACTGCTGCTGATAATACTTCAACATGTAGGTCCCATCAAGCTTTTGTCACCTCTTCCTTGGCAACTGATAAAGCCAGATATAGACCTGACTTTAATTAACTTAAACAATTTCACTAATTTATCAACCATTAATTAAATTATGATTACTTAATCATAAAAATCAATAACGTAATCATAAGAAGTCTCATTATCATATATATAAGCATGTGTCTATGAATCAGTATCAAATAGTCATGGTACAAGGTATTCACGAAAAGGTCAGCGTATCCTGACACACTGATGGCCCCCGTCACAAACACATGCAAAAGTAAGTCAATTGGTCACCTGGAAAAAAACCCAGGACATCATGTTGGCCACTGATGGGTCAAATTTGAAATTTCCAACAATATCTACCAGAAAATATTTGAATCCTTTATTGAGGCCTTGGCTGTTGTAATCCTGATCAAACAACATTAGTCAGGTGTGATATACCGCTCTTTTAGAACTTTGTAGAAAGAACATGTTCAATTGTACCTCAAACGTACAATGAGCAAATAAACCACATCAGTAGAAAATATTCCAAGATTTCTTAGGCCAAAGATCAAGCGCGTCGAATTAGCCTTATGATCAGTTCACACAAAATAACACATTAATAACAATCTCCATTCACGGTTGTCACGGTTGTTCGTGAAACATACGAGTATAGCAAAGGTCAAATTTACTTATGTGACTGAGTGAGTGAGTATGGTTTTACGCCGCTTTTAGCAATATTTTAGCAATATCACGGCGGGGGACACCAGAAATGGGCTTCACACATTGTACCCATGTCGGGAATCGAACCCGGGTCTTCGGCGTGACGAGCGAACGCTGTAACCACTAGGCTACCCGACCGCCCCACTTATGTCACGAGAAAAAAGTTTAAGGAAGGTGGTGTCACACGAACTAAGGTCGAATGTAAAGGGAAATATCTCATGGTAAGTTCAATTGGTAGATCACATCAATCCATTTTCAGGCAATCTATTTTTCTCTTGTGTTTCATTCTAATTTGCAGCAAACCGGTGTGTGTGACATCAAAATGCCTGGAGCTAAGGACAACGGTTCTGCAAGTGGAAGGTCGTAAAGAAAAACATTACTTGAGGATATTTAAATGTAATATGCGTATGTAATATGTAATATGCGTTTAAGAATGGCCTGTTAATATTTTTCGGACACTTCGATGTTGAACGGCTTACCCTAATCGCAAACACCTGGTGTCATCCCTGACTTTCAGTGATCCATTCATATAACTTCAGAGGCATTTTGCATTTTATGCCCAAAGGAATCTGATTCGGCGGATTATCGAGACTGGTTATTCTCTGGCGTTTTATATTGTATATGATATTAATAACTGGATTGTCTGGCCCAGACTCGATTATTTACAGACCGCCGTCATATAGCTGGAATATTGCTGAGTGCGGCGTTAAATATCTAACCAACCAATTATATTGTATATCAATCAACAGATACTGTTGAATCGATGTAACGTGCTCATTATCTGTGAGGCACAGTTATACGCTGTGATTTAAGACCCTTGAAGATTCCGGGGTAGAATAGGTCTTCAGCAACCCATGATTGCCGTAAAAGCTGACTATGCTTGTCGTAAAAGGCGACTAACGGGATCGGGTGGTCAGGCTCGCTGGCTTGGTTGATGCATGTCATCGATCCCAATTGCGTGGATCGATGATCATGATATCAATCACTGGATTGTCTGGTCCAGACTCGATTATTTACAGAGGGCCGTCATATAGGTGGAATATTGCTGAGTGCGGCGTTAAACAACAAACCAACCAACCAACCAAATTCAAATGGAGATTTTAATCGTTAGTCGTTATATGATCCCAGTAATTGTACTCAGCTGGATACCAAATCTCTGGAGGTGACATACATTCGGCGAATCTGTCTGGACAGAGGTCAAGCGTTGCCCACGATGCCGCAAACATGTCCAACTGTGTTTCTGTTGTTACAAAGATCCCTGGTAGCACTTAGAACGTGTTTGCTCGAGTGAGCGCGGGGTCATGTAGTGCAAGGGGAGCTACCTGTCTTCACTCGTTGTCACGACCTTGCCGCGCGACACATGTGTTTTTTAGCTCCGGTAAAAGTGTCCCCGCATTATGTCATTACGTCACAGCAAGACTACATAGACGGTCAATATTGTATCATTTATGTCAGATGTAGTGGAATATTGGTTTCAAAGCCAATTCAACAATTAAATAATTTGATAATATTGTTGTTTATGTGAATGACGAATGTATTCGTCACATTTCCTAAATTTTATCAAATTGTACTTGTGGCTTTTGTTTAATAAATTAAAAACAAGTGACGTAAATAAGTATTTGTCGCCATAAAGAAGTCCCTCATCCTCTCCTGACAATAACATTGATTCCTCCAAAATAAACATGTATTATTGCAGTATCAATATACTCGCCCATCCAAAAAGCCAGTCAGAGATTAAAATTAAACCCTCATACGTCTTTTAGGCGTGTAGTAACCTCAGGCAAATGCAGCTGGTAGAAAAATTGTATTTGTATAGTGGGATGAGTTTATTTGATTACAATATGTCTAATAAAACAACCGCCATGACAGTAACGTATTTCACGAGATAGTTCATATAGAAATTAAACGCTGTTATAGCTTAATTGGTTGTGAGACGACTCGGTCCATCAGCAAGGAAAATACAGGGTGGTGTTTCATCTATTGATTTAATAAGCGCATGTACCCGATTGAAAAGTCTGGCGAGGCGTTAGCCTGTTGTGTACACACACTTGTCAGGTTCAATGGGGGACCGTTCACAATCGTCTCGCGGACTCGTCAAACCGGTTACTTTGCATAAATAGATAGAAAAATGCCCGACATTTATGACAAGACTTTAACCGAGAACCACTGAGGGCTTATCCGACTGAAACAATCGTGCGACGGGTACCCGGATTCAGAGAGGGGGTGGCGGATGACGTAAGAAACTGGACTTAATCATTGGGAATGTTGACAGGCTTGCCTGAAGACCTACATGAATGAGTTCCGTCCCGCCGCGACTTAATTATGTGCATGAATAAAAACCAACAGCAGATTTCATTCAAGAGACGGCACGGTTCGTACTAGCAGACGACGGATTAACGACCTGTCACAAATCGTTGGTCCAGACTCCAAGATGGCGGATTGGGTAGCAGACGACACCGGGGTGTATGAAAACGGTCATTTATTCAGCAGGAGCAGCTCGACCAGTAGTGGACGGTCCAGCGAAGGAGCTTCTGGGAGGAGGGACCACCGACTTAAAGCAGACGAGAACGAGAATTTGGACAGGGCATCAATAGGCAGTGGGGCCAGTGCTTCTTCCAGCGAGAGAGGAATCAGCCTGGGAGGTGGCAGACAGTTGACAGAAGAGAGTCTCACAGACAGATACAGCGGGTACGTACTGGGTGTTCTGTAAATATATGAAACATGTTGAGAGACAGTTATCAAGGTAGCGAGAAATAGCTATTTCTGTTTGGTTTCTTATAAAGGATGATATTAATTTAGATTCACAGTTGCCCAATGGTGTTCATACACACGCGATTACAAAATTCACAAATATTATGTGAGTAATACTTTTCAATAGCTATTTAGGGTATAATTGAATTTAAACGTTTAGTTATTAAATTATAACCATGTAATCAAATATGAGATACAACTATATTGTAAGTATTCTTGGGTTTTGTTCACAATAGATATTCATAGCCAACTAATCTGTAGTTTATGTGGGGAACTTCTAAATTCCCAAATAACATGCAGGAACACGGTTTGAGGCAGCGCGACAACATTAAAGGGGGGTGAAAGAAAGGTATTATTGACTCTCGACACAATGACCCCACACAATGGTACTTGCCCCTAGGGAAACAGGAGCAGTGACTAGTCAATAGATGTCGGGAGTCAAAGCTACTAAGTGCCGGTAAAACAAGTTATTCAATTATATTCTGGGCATGGCATGTCCTTGAAGCAAGTCCAGTACCTAAATACAATACCCTATGAATTTACATATGCCTGAGTAAATATGGGCATGGACAGGGACTTTCTATGTAAACTGTTGTGGGTTTAGGGAAATATTTGTCATTTAGATGTAGCTAGTAAGCTATTTCTTCAAAAATGTATCTCAGTGTACGAGTAAACGACTAACAAGATATGTTTTATGATTTGACGTTCATATGATGTTTGAGTGCGATACAATTATTTAATGAACGAATATTGATATGTCTTCTTCATTGGCCGAAATACATATTTTATGAAAAACTTCTTATCCCAATATCGTGCTTTCACTGTTTGAGGTTATTTCAGCCTGTTTAAGTAAAAGTAAAATGTCAGACAAGTATAGCTCCCAACATTATTTTAGCATATATAAGGTAATATATAGAAAGTAAATATAGTGCATTTCTATTAAACATAACAAAGTATCGAGATCTATATGCAAAACTGATTGACCTCACACACAAACCGTCTCAATGTTGTAAAATACATCAGAAACGTTATCGTTTACGCATAATAACATAGTAGAAAAACATGAACCCTGACGTACCGCATGTTTGATATTGACAGTATCGCGATAGGATCACTTTGTTGCGAGCCACACACACCCCAACCCGTGACACCCACGTTCAGTCACGACATACCAGTCTCTATACAAAAGATGGTCGTGTAAAGATAAAGTTATAAAGGTTGTGAGGGTTAAGGTTTATGCTCACAGCACCTAAAGGCCTATTAATCTTATATTTGTTAAGATATGTTTTCAGAAATGGTTAACTACATATTTTATGTATTATGAATGTGTTTTCAAGAAAATGTTTTTAGTTTGCGGTTTTCTTTGTGAAATCTAAGCCTGCGATTCATGCATCTGTTCACGACTTGATAATTATTGAAGCATGCCTGTAACGTGAGCAGTGTACATCCACTGGGTTTCTCGTCAAAAGATGTCACATGGCGAGGCCTGGCCTGGAAAATACAATAAAATATATGGTCGTATTTTGGATCTGTGGTATTCTACCGTGTAAGCATACATCGAGGACTAAATACAGTAACTGACAAAGCGGGACAAATTCAGGCAAATTGTTTTCAGCAAGTTTACTTCAAGTAATTCAAACACCTTTAATATCATTATTATAGTTCTCTTCCATGTAAATTGAAGAGCCACATTGTTTCAGTCATGGAACACACTTCATTTCGTCTAAAAGATGGCACTTAAATGCGTAGCACAGTTCCCCTTTAAGCAAAATGAGTAACTGTAAATATAGGCGAAAAACTCACTCTCATAATCATAATAAATAAAAGCAACAAAACCCATTCCATATTTATAAGAAATCTCTCTCATTGTACGATTCCGACAACATAATGAGCATGTGTTATGAATCACTATCAAATAGTGATGATACCAGGCGTTCGCGAAAAAGTGAGCGTACCCTGACCCACCGGTGGCACCCGTCACAAACACATGCAAAGGTAAGGCAATTGTACACCTGAAAGAGCACGAGAACTTATGGTACAAGTGGAAATAGGGAATTGCACCGGACATTTGTGTCACTGATGTGGTAAATTTTCCTCCTCATGTCTACCATAAAACCATTTTGAAAGTTTTACTGAGGCTTTCAATGCTGTAACCTTGATAAAAAATCTTCTGAGTAAGGGTTGTATGAGGCTCTTGGACATCTTGGTAGAGCATGTTAGATTGTTCCTCAAACCTTGTGACATGTATACACCAAGGGCTGAATCACTATCAAATAGTCATGACACCAGGTGTTCGCTAAAAGATGAGCATATCCTGACATACATGATCAATAATTAATGAAAGTAGATCTATCGATAGATCAATAGATAACCTGTGTCGTTTTACTGACGCAAGCCGTATGTTTATGACAGGTTAATAAAACACATCGGTAATACAGATAGGCAAATCACAAATACAACAACCGCAAATATAACATGGTAACAAAAACATGTGTTTAAAAATGTTTTTTTTATAGTTCTATACTCAGAGCCATGCATCACGTCAGTCTTTCCGCCCACAATAAGCTGACACTTTGTGATATGATTGAAACATTGTTGAAAGCGGACTTAAACCCGACTCACTCACAGTTTCTTATGTCATGGTCTCTGTGCTATAGGTGCAGTGATTTACACTGCCAAAATTGATATGCCCCATGAAGTAGTGTTGTGAGGCACAGTATGAATTTGTGTACGGTTTCAAACATTTACTTTGTATTATATGCTGCCTCAAAGCACATGTGATATGTGTTCCGCTGTTCTTTTTTCATGTGCAAAAATGATTGCCGTTGCATGTGTTTGTGACGGGTACCACAGGCAAGGCAGGATATGTTCACGTTTTCGCAAACGCCTGGCATTAGCACTGTCTGAGAGTGATTAATAAACACATGCTTTATTCGGAATCGTACAATGGAATCTTGTGGGTGGATTTCGTATGATTGTGGGAAGGGTTTTGTCTCTTATATTTAACATTTCATAATGTATGAACAAGTGAGAATATAGATGTACAGTTCAGTATGAAAACGGTTCAATTACTTCCAGTTCTGTTTAAGTACAAATAAAATTGCAATACAAAACCGCCATTACTATTTAAGTTTCCGCATCGACAAACCAGCTCAATTTCGCCCTGTTTTAAATGTCACCGCCATTGTAGGCCAAGCATTACTCCCCAACCCCCATTCATCGTACATCAAGCATAGGTTCCTACAGTGTAGACATGTTATACATAGCTGGCTACTGATGGTGGTTGTTAAATCGCAGGTGCCTCTTCCTTAGAAATGCCGCGCAGTGAACACTGCTGTCACTGTTTCTAGGACATTGCCACCTGCAGAGAGGTAGACACACATGTGTCACTGTTTCTAGGACATTGCCACCTGCAGAGAGGCAGACACACGTGTGTCACTGTTTCTAGGACACTAGCACCTGCAGAGAGGCAGACACACATGTGTCATTGTTTCCAGGACACTACCACCTGCAGAGAGGCAGACACACATGTGTCACTGTTCCTAGGACATTGCTACCTGTAAAGCAGCAGTAAAAACAGGTGTCACTATTTCTAGGACACTGCTACTTGTAGAAAAGCAGGCATAAGTTTTTTGTTGTTTCTAGGACACTGTTACTAAAAGAGTAGCATGCGTACATGTATCGCTGTTTCCAGGACACTGATACGTGTAGAGAAGTAGGCATACACATCTCACTGGTTATAGGACAGTGATACTTGTAGAGAAGCAGGCATATACATCTCACTGGTTCTGGGACACTACTACTTGTAGAGAAGCAGGCATACATATCTCACTGGTTCAAGGACACTACTACTTGTAGAGAAGCAGGCATACATATCTCACTGGTCTTAGGACACTGTTACTTGTAGAGTAGCAGGCATACATATCTCACTGGTTCTAGGACACTGTTACTTGTAGAGAAGCAGGCATACATATCTCACTGGATCAAGGACACTGTTACTTGTAGAGAAGCAGGCATACATATCTCACTGGTTCTCGGACACTGATACTTGTAGAGACGCAGGTATACATATCTCACTGGTTCTAGGACATTGATACTTGTAGAGAGGCAGGCAAACGTATCCCACTGGTTACGAGACAGTGTTACTTGCAGAGAGGCAGGGATACATATCTTGACATCCCAAAGCTTCATAAAAAGCTCCGTACAAAGAGATACATGTTGCTGGGTCCAGCAAATGAACCCTCAAATCTCTGCCTCAACGATTAACCATACTCCTTGATACAATCAAGGAAGGACTTTCTTTATGTTCACAGTGTGAGTGAGTGAGTTGGGCTTGAAACATCTTTTAACGGTATTCTAGTTATATCGCGGCGTGTCAGCTTAATGTGGGAGGAAAGCCCGAAGTGATGCAGGTCTCAGACGTTTACCGCTTCGGTGAAACCCACGAGCACGGGTATGGTGCTGACAAACCTAGAAACATAATCGGGGCGAACCGGGATTCGAACCCACAATCATAGGTTTCTGGCGTGCCCAAGGGACGCAACTCTGCACAGCGAATCGCGGCGCCTTAGACGACTGGGCAACCCGTGCCCCCGCGCCCTTCTTTATGTTCATAGTGAATTAATACCATGTGGATTCTTAAAAACTCGCGGAAAAGAATCAGGTTCAATTCTGTCAAAACATTTAATTTTTCAACTTTGTACAACACTACCCCACATGACAAACTTAAGGAAAAACGTAGTGACCATTATATCTATCTTCAGAGGTTCAGGTCAATTTGTCCAAAATGCCATCTGAAGTTTGCTGAGAAAGTAATATGTAAAATGCTGGACTTCCTCGTTGATAAGATTTATGTAAATATTTGGGGTAAGACATTTAGGCAAGGTCTAGGCATCCCCTGGCCACTAATTGCGGCCCCCTTCTTGCTTATCTGTTTC